ATTAACTACTAATAGCTTACTGTTAACTAGAAGCCGATAATATAGTTGATTAACACGTTTCACATGTTATACATAATATATATGTATTCTTACAGTGAAGTAAGAATTGCATTCTTACAACAAAGTAAGCTAGAAGAAAATATTAAGAAAATTGTAAGGAAGGGAAAATGTATTTATTGCTTCTTATGTGGAAGTGGATCATTATAAAGGTCCTCAGGTTGAGTAGGTGGTGTGGAGGAGTCTTACTGTCTCTGGTGACAGTGGTGGGAATTTCCCATGTAAGTAGACACACATAGTTCAAACCCATGTTGTTCAAGGGTCAATTGTACTTCTACCTACATACAAAAATAAAATCTGACCCCAATTGTTAGCACTTTGGCATAAATTTACTTTTATTATCTAGAACTTGGTTTTTATAACCAAATCTGTTTTACAAGTAGCGTTATATATTTAAGGAGGAGAGACTTTGAGAGGTTCCCATAGACAAGAGTGTCTAGTTCTGTAGATTGTTCAGTTAGAAATGATTCCCTTTTCGGGGAGTATTTACCCATGTTGCAAAGGGACAACAAGCTAGTAGGTCTAAAACAGATCATCACACAGAAACATTACATTTCTTTGTCCTACTGATTTATTTAGGTAAGTAAGATCTTGTTATTATTTTGAATGATACTTACCTGCCGAGCACTCTCCAGTGATTTCCCTCATGCTTAGAATGAAATGCAGACATGACCTTGGGTTATTATCCATGTTATCTGGCTCTGTTCTCTGACCCTCTCTTCTTAAGGTTCTCTGCTCGCTCAGATTGTGGCTCCATTTGTCTTTGTATTCTTCTTATGTATCACTGTCCCTCCTTATCGATTCCTAAATCTCTTCCTACAGATCTGCCACCCATACTTGGCTCAAATATCATCTCCTCAGTAAAGGTCCTTTCTTTACCAAGCAAACTGAAGTAGTTGCCCTGACATACTTTTTTTTGGACCTAAAAGTTTCTATTTTGGTACCCCTTTTTATAAACTTCAGTGTATTAATTAGCTGAAATTGTTTTGCTTAATTATTGGTTTGTTCCCGACCCTAAACCATAAACTATGAAACTAGACAGGCTAGTTTTCAGTCCTCTCTGTCTCAGTGTATCAGTCTTGGTTCTCAAGAGAAACAGAACCAATAGGAGATATATCCAGAATGAGATTTATTTACAGAATTGGCTCATGTGACTCTGGAGTCTATAAAATCTTACAGTCTGCTGTCTGTAAGTTGGAGACCCAAGAAAGCTGATGGTATGATTGGAAATTCTGAGGGCCAGTAAGTGTAGATTCCAATCTGGGTCTGAAGGCCTGAGAGCCAGCTCAAAGCAGTTAGGTAAAGAGAGAATTCGACTTTCCTCCACCCTTTTGTTCTATTCAGGCCAGCAAGGTACTGGATAATATTCACACACATTGGGGAGGGTCTGCTGCTTTATTCAGTTCACCAGTTTTCAAATGCTAAAGTCTTCCAAAAAACCCTCACGTACACACCCAGAAATGTTTAGCCAGGTATCTGAACATCCCGTGACTAATTTCATAAGTCAAGTTGACATATGAAATTAACCAACACACTCAGTTATTTTATAAGATGATTGTCATAAAGATTAAAGTTTTAATATATGAAAAATACTAAAAACAGTGTCATGCACATGATAGCAACATGCTCCCTGCTGTTATTAATATCATCATTATTATGATGTTAGCAGTTTTGCCATCTTCACTTCTGTATCCTCACATCTAAAATAATACTTTAAACATAGTGTGTGTTCACTTAATATGTGTTGAGTGTATTAAAATGAATTAGTATTTTAATAAGGATAAATTTCTTATACAAAGTAATAGAATCTAAATATTTCTGAAAACAGTTATTAAATATTACTGAAAACAGTTGATTTTGGTAATGTAGTGTCCATATTACATCTGTTTTTTCAAAATGTATATGTTTTACATGATGATTATAAAGGTTAAATATGAATGTTAGTTGCATTATGCAAGCAAATTTTCACATTTGAAAAAGGGATGCAATTTTTTGAGAGAAAAATTGGTGTTACTGTTTTTGAGAAAGGCTGGGGTAAACATTGGTTTGTAAGTAAAATTGTTTGCATCTTAGGAGTTTTTTAATTTTTAATTTCTAACTTTTCACATGTTTTCCCCCAATGAAATATATTCTGAATATTCTCATTCCACACCACATCATGTTCTACTTACCGCAGCATCGAAAATGTTCTGATTGGAATCTAGTTGAGCTAAAAATCAGATTTTCGTATATGCTATAAATCTCAGTGCTTTCGTTGACATACAGGTACCTGTTTTAAAGTATTGAGCTTCTCTTCATTCAGTAAACTTTTATTTTTTCTTTATTTGAATTTCACATGTCACATATTTAGTCTGTGGTCAAAGTACTGATAATTTTAACCAGATTTTAAGACAATTTCATTACTTAAAGTCACACTTTTTAAATATAAAGAACAGACATACGTTCAGGCCCACGTAGGCTCATGTTCATAATCTGAGCAATCTTGCTTTGGTAGTCAGGTGCTCTCTTTTCACCATTCTCAGTCATCAGACTTTTCTTAAAATTATTTATTTGAGACAGAATCTTTGTCACCTAGGCTAGAGTGTAGTGGCACAATCATAGCTCACTGAAGCCTTGAACTCCTGGGCTCAAGTAATTCTCCTGCCTCAGCCTCCTGAATAGCAGGGGTTACAGGTGTGTGCAGCTAGTTTTTTGGGTTTTTTTTTTTTTTTGGAGATAGGATCTCACTGTGTTGCCCAGGCTGGTCTCAAACTTCTGTCCTCAAGCAGTTCTCCTGCCCCAGCCTCCCGAGTAGCTGGGATTACAAGACATGAATCAGCATACCTGGCTCATCAGACTTTTAAAAAGAGTAGTCACAGAAAGGAAAATGTAAAGATGTTTAAATTAAATCAAGAATTTGCTGAAACTCTTTTTCCCCGGAAGGATGAGTAAGAAGAAAATATGGTTAAAAAGTTGAAGCCATTTCTTGGCAATACATTAGTGTTCTAGCCTTAATATGACAGTTTAATTATCCTAAGCTTGAGCTAACGTTTTTTTATTCATGCTGTACCCACCAAGTTTGAATAGAAACATATTTGCTCCATACTGTGTTTTAAGTTTTCTCAACTAATAGCTAATGGCTCTTGTAGAGACTCTTGAAACAGTCTTAAGTATACAACATAAATGAACTCAACCAGTATGTCAGGTCAGTTGGATGCCATTCTTTATTTTCTTAAATTAGATATTTTGAAATTGTCTAGAAATTGATGAAATTGAAAAGCACAAAGTAATACCAATTTTCATTTTCACACTTGCAATGATTTTTCTGTTCAGTAGGTTGAATTTGAATGGCCATTTTCCAAATTTGGGTAAAACCCATTGAGCATTTCCACTTGTGTCTGTAAGTTAATAAATTTCTATTCAATTAAATTATAGTGGCTTATGGCTTTTTCTATTTAGAAAGGAAACCAATTGTTATTAAAAGCATAAAACTTTAATAGAAACACAGAAAAATAGATGGTTGGGTGAATATAATGTTCTAATTAGCTTTTTTAGTCAACTGTTATTCAAGAGATATTTTTATTTGTCTTAAATTCTTGTTCTGCAAATTCTAATATATTGGATTACTTTTCTTATACATAAATTTTATAGATTTAGACCTTTTCTTATTAAAATGTCTACTAAGGTGTTATTTGTAAATAACATAGTTTAGGGCTGCAGTTTCCTAACCAGGCTTTATTTGGCTTCACAGGGGACATTTGGCCATGTCTAGAGTAATTTTTTATTGTCATGACTGAAAGTAGGAGAGATGCTGTTGGCGTGTAGTGGGTAGAGGCCAGGGCTGTAGATAAACATCCTACAGTATATGGAATACCAGTTCCCCACTCCACCAAAGAGTTACCCAATACAAAATACAAAAGTAGTGCCAAAGTTCAGAAACTCTGGTTTAGGATTATTAATGATTTTGCCACAATTACATATTATAAAAAATATTATCATAGACTGAAAGTAATGCCAGAATTTTTTTTTAAATAAGCTTCTAACTCCAGAAAAACCATAGCTTTAAGGAATGTGATACTTAACTGGGCATGTGATATCTGGAATGTTATTTTTTAAACATTAATCCAGTTTCTTTTTGGTTACTGCACAAATGTGTATATTCCAGCTCTCCGTAACAGACACCTTGTGTATATTCACTATGGACAGGGCTGGGCATAATAGACTCTAGAAGTGATTGAGATGTGCTTTGTGAAGTTACGAGTTATTTCTCTGTAGACATGAAAGAAGATGATTTGAAGGCAGTAAAAGAAGCCTTACTTAAGCTAGGAAGAAACTAAAGCTCAGTTGTGTTGCCCATGAATGAAAGCAGATTATTAAGAAGAAGACAGTATATACTTTGTTATCCTTTCCTCAAGCCTAGAATTCTTGGGCAGTCCTACATGTCAAGCTAGTCAGCACAGACTTTTTGTTTGCCCTAGCTGCTGATAGCTCCTCTTTTCCCACAGCCTTGACTTTACAGGCATTCTCACAGCCATGTCCTAGCTGGAGCTCAGTAGTATGTTTTTGTTTTTTTTTTCTGTAGCTGTTTGTGGATTTTCCCACACCAAGTACTTATTTACACTGTCAAGAGATTATGAAAGTGAATTCTATACTTTAAGTTAGGTAGAGAGAGAATGCTGCCTGGAAAAGGCAGTGTGCCTTGGTACCAAAGCTTGGGAAAAAGACAACTGCATGTCTCTTTGGGAGCTCTTGCTTCCAGCTGACTTAAAAATTAATCATGTCTTGATAATACAACTTACTTACAATTTTATAGCATTGTGAATTAAAATTTAGTTTGTAATTATTATCTATACTTTTAGCTTTCATTTTTACATTCAACTTTTTGTTTTTAAAAAAGATGTTCCTTTGGCTAAACAAGAAGCTTGAGAACACTTTTTTTTTACTGGTACTGTTTTGCTTTATAGGTCTGCTTCCCCAATAGGACAGCATCATTCTCCAATATCTTCCAGACATCACTCATCTTCCTCCCAATCAGGATCATCTATTCAAAGACATTCTCCTTCACCTCGTCGAAAAAGGACTCCCTCACCATCTTATCAGCGGGCATTAACTCCACCTTTACGGCACTCTGCTTCTCCTTATCCTTCAAATTCTTTATCTTCTCCTCAAAGAAAGCAAAGTCCTCCAAGACATCGCTCCCCAATGCGAGAGAAAGGAAGACATGATCATGAACGAAGTTCACAATCTCATGATCGGCGTCATGAAAGGAGGGAAGGTATGCACTGTACTTTAGCTTGACATCTTTTAGAGTTCTTTTACTAAAATGGATATTTTCTTTATTAAAAAAATCGGACATCCAGATTTATTGTTATAATAAGGGGTAGAAGAGAATTACCCTATGCAGTAATAAATCTTCTGTAACACATAGGGGTCCTCAAACTTTTTAAACAGGGGACAGTTCACTGTCCCTCAGACCACTGAAGGGCCGTGAGTCCCGGGATGAGTTGGCTGCTAAGTAGGACAGGCAGCAGCAGCAAAAACACCCGGTGGGCTGGGTAAATGTACTCGGCAGGCTGCATGTGGCTCGCAGGGTGTAGTTTAAGGACGCCTGGACTAGAGTTCTTGAGGCCAATAGGAGCTGCTTAAACATCTTAAGTAGATGCTTAAGCATAAGCTCTTAAGTATACAGAAGTGGGCTTTTATAGATATAGTAAGTTAGTTCTTTAGCTAAGATGCTTTACTGAGTATAGTACTCTAGAGTTCTAGAAATACTTTGGCCATCTGATTCTTAGAGCATCCCTTTCAATTGTTTAGTTAATATCTTTAAAAATGCAAGAGGTGAAGGGAAGGAAAGCAGCAAATCAGAGAACATAGTTTCAAAGCATCAAAAGTGTATTTATAAAGTGATGAACACTGGAAGAAACTTTCAGAAGGTTAGTGCAAGCCAAGTCATCAAAATTCTGAGTCTAACTCATAATAAAGTAGTAAGCAGAGCAGTTTTCCCTGTTAGATTCCTGGGAACTAAGTTGACTTGGATTTGCTGCTCCCTATTCAAGCTGAGATGCTGCTGTTACCTGGCAATAAAGCCTGCTAGCTTTCTTCTCTTTCTGTACTTCTTAAGTTTCTTGTCCTTGTTGATTTAACTTAACAGTCTTTTTTCCAACTTCTCCTAGACAGTTTTTGAACATAGTACTCAGGAAATACTTGCTTACTTGCAACAGCATTTGTGTTTAATCTGCATTTTAAATGCCTCTCTGTGAGTATAATACACCAATCTCCAATGAAACATGTTGGACTTGTTTTCTTCCTGTCAACAGTGCAAACAAGAATTTATTCAAGACAATGGTGGATACATAGGTAGGGACTAGAGAAAGCACCTGTTTTATAGAATTATTTTTTGTGTACATAATTTTGGTTGGAACCAGATTAGCACAATCCTCTTATACTGTGCCTGTATCTATTAATTTTAATAAGATATTTAACAACAACAGTTGACCAGGAATATAATACACATTTAATGATTAATTATTGAATGCAAATTATTAAACACACAAATGAAGGGAAAATAATATGTAGTTGAGTCGCATAGGAATGGTTTTTTATGAGTGTAATGAAGGGCTTATGTTACAGAAAGAATCCTTTTAGTAATAAATCATATGTTCTCTGTAAGGAAAATATTTCTTTAACCCTCCATGTAAGAGATTTGGCAGATTTTGTTCCTCTCTATTTAGATGTCATTTTTTGAAATAAGGATAATTTCAGTAGAAAGATGGTGAGGTAGGTAAAGAAAAAAAATACAGTAACTAGAAGTTTTTATAAAGACAGATGGGACATTATGGGAAAAAAGGTCTGGCACTAACTGAATACCTTTTCAGGTACAGTTGTTACTAGAGGAGGAGCGGTAGTGATATGCACAGAAAGGGGCGAAACTGTGTTAGATCCTTGCCTCTTGCTTCAGTCCTTAAACAGCATTTGTGGGTATAGGCATATAGACAAAAGAATTTACAGGGGAGATAGATTATTGATATAAAGATGTCTAGGGTTTTTTATGGATACAAGATGTTTGGGTCCTTGAAAAAGTCTGTGGCCTACCAATGGGGACAAAGAGAAAAGGAGATAAATTTATAATGTTTTAGAGATAAGGCTACGGCAGTTTTAAAGTAGTCTCAGATTGTGGCAATTCCAGATTATAAAAGCATTTTATAGGAGAATCCAATCAAAAGGACAAGTTTGATTTAGATAATCAGTGAGGTTTATTCCAACTTTATAAAAAAGGAAATGATTTATCTTTCTATGTTATGCTAGAAAAGCTTTAAAAAATAATCAGGAAGTAAGATCTCACTATTTGCCCAGGCTGAACTCGGCCTCGGCTGGGCTCAAGTTATCCTCCCACCTTAACTTCTTGAGTAGCTGGACCATAGTTGTATGCCTGACTAGAAAATGCTTTACGTAAAGAAGGCTTTAGAGACTGTTGCACACGTGAATGTGAAACACAGCTCAGCATAAAAATGAATAACAATTATCTCTTAGCCACCCAGCTTACTAACTGCAGGCTTCTCTCAAGTGCTTAAGTACATTGGAGGTGGTCACATCTGGTGTGGTCTAGCCTAGTTGCTCAGTAGAAGTGATTAGTCACTGTGTGCCCCTGGATCTAAAAGTGGTTTCTAAAAAGTAAGGTATCAGCCATGTGAGAACAGCTTACTTAAGATCTAGAAGTATGGGTGAGTTGGGACATAGGAATTTCATATTCAAAGTTTATCAATCAAGAAGTGCATAGTTATTAAGTATTAATAAAATTATCTTTGTGTAAATTATTTTAGCTTATGGATGGTTTTCTTTTCTTGCCCACGTTTTCTCCTTTTTCTCCCCATAAAGAACATGAATTACCATTGTAATAAAAATTTAAAAGCTCTGTATTAAATAAATTGACTTGTTTCCTGAAAGTTTGCAAAAGGAATTATAGGTGTTATCCACAATTGCATTATAGAAACTAGAGGCAAACGGGATAGAGAAAAGGACACAAGAGAAGAACGGGAGTATGAACAGGAACAGAGCTCTTCTAGAGACCACAGAGATGACAGAGAACCTCGGGATGTTCGGGATCGGAGAGACATCAGAGATACTAGAGACCGAAGGGAACTAAGAGACTCCAGAGACATTCGGGACTCCAGGGAAATGAGGGATTATAGCAGAGATACTAAAGAAAGTCGTGATCCCAGAGATTCTCGGTCCACTCGTGATGTCCACGACTACAGGGATCGTGACAGTCGAGATACTCATCGAAAGGAAGATATGTATCTGGAAGAATCTCGTAGTTATGGCAGAAACCATTTGAGAGAAGAAAGTTCTCGTACCGAAATAAGAAATGATTCCAGAAATGAGTCTCGAAGTGAAATTAGAAATGACCGGATGGGCAGAAGTAGGGGGAGAGGTCCTGAGTTGCCTGAAAAAGGTAAGGTTTTTGATTTCTGAGTGAACTGTGTCTTATATGCTCATAGAGAAAGTATTAATTCTGCTAAGATACCTTTTCTAAATATATTATTTCTTAAATTCATTATAATTTTGTCAAAGTAATTTTCGTTAGTTGATTTTGTGATGTTCCATATAAATTCCCAATCAGTATTACTAGTTGTTTTTTTTTTTTT